GGGTTGATTATATAACTAAATAGAGAACAACATCTCACAATACTAAGCGATGTGAGACTAAATTAAGCTCCGCAATACTGACAATTCTTCCACTTAGAGCTTGATATCCAACATCACCTAGTGTAGTTGCTTTCATCATTTATTGTTGAAGGCCAATTGAGGCAATACAAAGCCTCAACTTGTTTCTTTTGACATTCTTGGTCAACATATAAACTAGATTATATGCACCTGAAATCTTTGACAAAGGCAAGTCTCTATCATTTATCAAGTTTCTCATAAAATGATACTTTATTTCAATATGCTTGCATCTAGAATGAAGTATTGGATTTTTAGCAAAATATATAGACCTTTGATTATCACTGAACAATGAAGGGTCATCTTTTTCTTTCCCTAATACTTTTAGAAAGTTCTTCAACCATATCATTCCCTTTCCTACTTCTGAGATAGCTACATACTCAGCTTCAGTGGTTGAGAGGGAGACTCTTCCTTTAAGTTTAGACTTCTAACTGATAATTATACCACCCAATGTAAAAATGTAACCTGTTGTGCTTTTTCTACCATTCAGATCTCTTGTAAAGTGAGATTACTTCTAATAAAAGACAAATGCATTTTTGAAGTGCCCTTCAAATATCTCAATATCCACTTTACATATTTCCAATGATCCTTTCTATAATTTGATAAAAATCTACTCATAACTTCCACTGCATGTGATATGTTAGCTCTGGTGCAAAGCATAACATACATCAAGCTCCTTACTACAGATGCATATGGAACTTTAGACATGTAACTTTCTTCTTCATTTGTCTAAGAAGATTGCCCTTTTGAAAATTTTAAGTGAGTTCCCAAAGGTGTATTACTAGTTTTAGCATTTCCAACATTGAATCTGCTAAGCAATTTTTCTATATATTCTCTTGAGATAAGTTCGAAATACCTTCAGATCTATCCTTGGAGATTTACATACTAAGAATTTGTTTGGCTGGACCAATATCCTTTATTTCAAAATTTTATGACAATTGTTTTTTCAACCAGTTAATTTCTATCATATTAGCTCATGTGATCAACATGTCATCAACATATAAATCAAGAATGATGTAACTAGCAACACATTTCTTCACGTAACAACAATGATCTTCTTCACATATGTGAAATCCTGAGTTTCTCATAAACTCATTAAACTTTTTTTACATTGTCTTGGTGCTTGTTTCAATCCATACAAGCTTTTATGAAGCTTCCATACAAGATTCTCTTGGCCTTGTGCATCAAAACCTTTTGGATGTGCCATAAAGATCTCCTCTGTGCAGGAATGCAGTTTTGACATCTAACTACTCGAGATGAAGATTTTTTGTGGCTACTATACTTAAGATAACTTTGATGGTAATCATCTTGATAATAAGAGATAAATTTTTTGTGAAGTTAATACCCGTTTCTGTTGAACCCTTTTACTACAAGTCTAGCCTTATATTTTTGGTTCTTTTTTTAACTTATAAACCTACCTGTTTTGCAAAACCTTGTTTCCTTCTAATAGCTTGGTTAAAAACCATGTTTTATTATTCTGAAGATACTTGATCTCCTCTTTCATTGCTAGCTCCCACTTAACATATTCATCTCCTTACATAGCCTTAGCAAAATGCTCTAGCTCACCAGCATTAGTCAACAACAAGTAGTGTAACGAAGAAGAATACCTTTGTGGTGCAATTGTTCTGCTAGATCTTCTAATCATAACTATAGGAATGTCTGACTCTACTATGTGTTCAGGTTCTGACTCAAGCTCTACCTTTATATTTTGCCTCCTGTTGACTATATCACTTTTTGAAATTTATTCTAATGATACTTGCTTTGGTTATGCATTTATTGATTCTACAGTCCATTAAAAGTAAAATTTCTATTATTGGAACTATCTTGATCATTTTGATCATATTCCCTGAACAAAACTTCTTGAATTCACTATTTTCATATTCTCTACCATTATCAGACTTCTAATATTTAACTTTTAAATAATGCTTGAGTCTCAACCTCCTTTTTCCACCTTTTAAACATAGAAAAATACATCAGATTTATTCTTAAGAAAGTATACCCATACCTTTCTTGTAGAATCTTGAATGAAGGTTACCTAGTATTGTAAAATGCCAAGAGATTTCACTAGAGCTGGCTCTCAAACATCTGTATGCACCAATACTAGTCTTTCAACTTTAGACGTCTTACCTGTTTTGGAGAAACTAACTTTTTTATGCTTTCCAAAGATACAATGTTTAATAGGCCCAATGTCAACATGCTTTAAGTTAGGTATTTTACCTTTTGAGATAATGTGTTTCATTCCTTTCTCACTTATATACCCAAACTTTGATGCCACAAAGAGAAATTGTTGCCAACTTCTGCAATTGATATCATATCATCATCTATAATCATGTAAAGAGATCCTTTCTTCTTTCCACGAGTAACAACAAAATTTTCTTTCATTACCTTCCAGTGTCCATCTTCAAAAGTGGTGTAATATTGCCCCTCATCATTCAATTGTCCTATAAATATTAAGTTTTTATCATGTTTCTCTTTAAGGCAGGAATATGTTTGACATCATTCATAGTCCACACGTTTCCATTAGAGGTTCTAATGTTAATATCACATCTTCCCACAATATTAAGAGATTTTTCATCTGCAAGGTAAATCTTCCCAAATTTTCCAGAAACATAGTTATATAATAGTTTTAAAGAAGGTGTAGTATGAAATGACACACTTGAATCCATAATCCATGAGTCAATGAAACTATCTAAACTACATAATAGTGTATCTGCAATTTCATCAATTGTTGAATTTTCTATTAAATATCATCTTACTTCTTTTTGTTGTTATTCTTCCTTGAAACCCAACATTGATTTGTAAAGTGACTCTTTTTCTATAATTCCAACAGGAGATATCATTATGTACTTTTCTTTTGTGATTCCTACAGACTTTGATCTGTCTCGACCATGATTACGACCTTTCTGGATATTTCTTCCTCTATTTTTAACACTCAATGCTAAACCATAATTAGAACTGGAAGATTCCACCAAATTTCTCCTATGAACATCTTTACTTAAAATCAAGTCACAAAATTGTTAACTGTGGTAACAATTGCACCTCAACTTTGCAGAGGAGACGATAACAAAACTAATGCTTTTATTTCATCATCAAAAGTTATCTGCACTAATGTTAACATTGCAATAATTGTATTGAATTCACTAATATGATGAGTAAACGAGTTACCTTTCACATTTTTAGGTTGATAAGTCTGCGAATCAAATACACTTTATTGGTGCAGATGGCTTCTCATACATATTTGACAATGCCTGCATCAAATTTGTGGTTGTCTTCTCGTTCATGATGTTGAACGCAACATTCTTGGCTAATACCAACTGGATCACACCAATTGTTTGTTGATCTAACAACTCCTAATTTGATTGCTCCATGTCGTCTGACTTCTACCCTCTTAATGTTAGATACAACTTCTAAAACAGGTAGTCCTCCATCTGCTTCTTTCAAACCCCAAAGTCACTACCATCAAATTTCTTAATCTTCACCTCCTCTTTTTCCAATGCCATTACTGTTGGTGCTTTAGAAGAAAGCTCACACGACTTCTCTAAATTGAGATTCCCAAGAAAAAAGAAAACCAAACCTTTTTCTAGTGCCTTTTTCCTTTATCAGACAAAGCTACAACCACATAGTATATTAAGAAATTGGCTCTTAATACTAGTTGTTAGGAATAAGAAAATAAAAGAAGAAAGAAATAAATGACAAGAATTTAACGTGGTTTAACGTACAAATACTTGAGTATTAACGTGGTTCAACGTACAAATACTTAAGTATTGTACACTTACGTCCACACTACACTAGAATTATATTTATTTTGGTGTATCTTCAAACTTTACACATAATTGTTTATATAGATAAATAAAGAACAACATATCACCATTCTCTCAAGTTTATTAGACTATTTCCTTCTTTAACAAGATCCTTTATATGAAGAGCTTGAAGGAATAAAGTCATTGCATATTTTTTATAGTTGTTATAAAGGTCATTTTCTACTATTATTTTCCTAAAAACACATTGAATGTTCTTTGACGTAGCATAAGAATGTACGTGACTCGTTTGATAAAACCTTTAGAGCATGATAAAACTTTACAAACTAAGAAATATAAAAGATATAAATTCTTTCTACTTTTGAGCAAGTGTAAGACTTGTCATACTTTGCAACACCAACTTGCCTTTTCTAAAGAAACAATTTGTATGAAATATATTCCTAAAAAAAATTCTTTGATATAAATAAAGTGTTGCAAGTTCTTCTTAAAATATTAAATCCTTCCAAACATAATTTTTTTAAATTAAGGTTTGATATGTTATGAAATGTTTCAGCCTTGCATCTGTAAAATAAAATATAATTATCATTTATTCAAATACTCATTTCATTAAATATTCTCACTTTGGTTTCACGCAAAAGTTGATCAAAACAACACTTAGTATCTATTACATACAATATATATTAATCAACATTTCCATATGTCCAATCATAAATATACTGATATATAACAAATTATGTTTTATATTTAATTATATAAAAATGATTAAGATTGATCATGAAATATATTGAACTTAAATCTAACCATCATATTAAGCAAAAGAGCCTTATAGTTATTTTTTTAGAGATAAAAATGATTTAATTCTTTATTTATTAAAAAGTAAAATTATTTAATTAAAAAAATAATTAGAAAAAGACATGCCTCTTAATTCACGGACATATATTATAAATAAAACACTCGACAAAAATAATATGAGAAGTAATTATTTTGATAAATAATGTGATTTAAAAGAAAAAGGCTTCATTTTCAGATTTCACCCGTGACAAAATAGATCGATAGATGCAGAATGGTTAAAATTGGCCAATTTGCCTCTCGTTGTTTTCTAACTCTTTACAAACAAGATGATAATAATTTTAAAAAGTTCAGTGTGGCAAATGAATCTCCATACTCTATAAAAACAAAACCAAAGACTTATCTCAATCCACTCGCTAATCGCCGCAGCAACTAGTGTCGTACCGTATCCACTTTCTTCCAACTCCGCCCTTCTTCTTTCTCAAACAACCAAACATGGTGGTGGCGGGTCTGTCTCCGGCCATCTCCATCTCCACCGCCACCACAACCCCCTCTTCCTTCCATTCTCGCGCCTCAAAACCACTCTCTTCTTTTTTCGGCCTCCTCCACTCTCCCCAGCCCAATCTCTCCATCTCCGCCAGGAGGAACCGCTACAACACCACTCACTGTTGCCGCTGCTCCCTCAATTCCGGCGATACCTACGTCAATTGGGATTGGAACCGATGGTGCCGCTATTTCTCGGAAATCGAACAGGCCGAGAACTTTGCCTCTGTCCTTAAGGTACATCGATAAGTAATATATTTATTCTTTTACCGAATTTTTGTCTTCATTCTCAATATGAAATTTCTTGCATAAGTTGAAATTTTCGTATGCATAATCAGTTAGTGGTTTGATTCATCTTTTGGATTCTGTGCCTGTACAATTTATATGCAGTTAGAAACTACTCGTTTTAATTTGTACATAGAAACCATATTATCGTTTAAAAGTGTAGAAGCAGAGGCGAAAACATGAAGGTTATGTTGGCGTTGAGTTGATTTATCAGCTTTCTCATTTAATTTAAGAGTCTGTTTGGGTGGATTTTTTTCATAGTACTTTTAAAAGAAAACAAAGATAAAGGAAAAATGAAATGAACTTCTTCCGTGAACTAAAATTAGTTTGTAAGCTGATTTGTAATTGTTCTCTCATATTTAGTTCTCCAAAATTAGACTTTTACCATATGCATATGCTGGCTTTATTTTGGGAAGAAATTCATTTCACCTTTTTCTTCTCTTAAAAGTGTTCACGAATAAATTTACGAAAACTAACCCTTAGTCTAAAGCTGATTTTAATGAATAGGTGATGGTTACGCTACTTTTTTTTTTGTGTGTGTTTGTGTAGTTTCAACTTGATGATGCTGTAGAGAAGGAGGACTTTGAAGAGGCCATTAAGTTGAAGAGGGCTCTTTTGGAAGCAACGTCCAAGGACACTGTTGCTAAAATTATGGATCAGTTGAAGGTAAGAGCAGCAGAATTTGTCTGAATTAGTTGACTTTTTTTTTCTTTTTAAAATTTTTGTACATATGGTGTGGTCGGTACTCGATGTTAACTGGTGGTTGTGTTATGGTGCAGAGTGCTATAGATGATGAACGATATCATGATGCTTCAAGATTGTGTAAATGCACTGGAAGTGGACTGGTATCTTTCTTGTTTGCTCAACTTTGTGCTAGCCATTGTTTGAAAGTGTAACCTTTTACAATGTTTTATTATTGTATTTGGAGCTTGACTTTATTTAGTTTCTGTTTGACTCAGCCTTTTCCTACTTAAAAGGGAGAAGTGGAGCCAAGTATGTTTTTAGATAAGCTCTTGAAAAGAAAAGTAGTTTCGTCTTTAGAACAAAGGCCTGGAAAATAGAGGTATTGGATGAGGAATTTACTTTTGTGTAGATGAGAAGTGAAAATTAGTTAGCTCAAAAACACTATCTTAGTATTTCCTAGAAGATGTAGCTTCACCCTCTTAACAAAACTTCAACATTATGGATCAGTTCAACATTGTCCGCAAACTAGTTTTCATCTTTTGTAGAAGACAAATAAAATATCCACTGCTTAGAGCAACAATTTACAATATTTATTTCTCACATTGAGTTAATTAGATAATCACATGCCATGTTTAAGTTACCATCACCAATAACTCATGATCTGGAAAGGGTGAGTCTAATAATGTAGAAGAATGTTTTGGAAAAGAAATTGGGAGTTATGAGGATTTAAGGTTTGTCGTCTTGAAGATGTAAACAAAAATAAGTGGTATGTTTGGAAGATGTTTGGTAACTGTCATCAACCATTCAATACACTTTAACAACAACAAGGGTTTATAAGGGTTAAATATTGTAATAGGAAAGAAACTCAACATTATGAAAATTAAAAATAGATGGTGTGCCAGATTAGTTTCAAGTTAGTTTTAATAAACTTATGCAGTGCAGTTGTCTGAGAAGATAAAGACAACCCATCTAGAAAACAAAATAGTAGTTGTGATTTGTGAGTATTGTTACTGATTGATGGTCTCAACAAGGTTTTGTGAATCACAACTCCCTTATTTGATGACCATTGTTACCTTTGTGTGCAGGTGGGCTGGTGGGTGGGTTACTCAAAAACCACTGATGACCCCTTTGGTAGAATTATACATATAAGTCCTGGCATGGGTAGGTTCATTGGCAAGAGTTACAGTCCAAGGTATGAATGTTCTACATTATATTTTACCCTGTAGTTTTTTATTGGGGAGCGCTGCTTATTTCTACTTAATACAGACAATTGATGACAGCATCTAGTGGAACTCCAATCTTTGAAATTTATGTGGTAAAAAATGCTGATGATACGTATCATATGCAGGTAATATTCAAAATTTCTATCTAAATGATCCTTGTTTATTTGTCTTATCAATCTGCTTGAGAAAAACAAAGTCTCAGTTCACATGTTGATTCATGGATAGTTTTTATTGTTTCATTATTTATGAGCCACATATTTATCAGTAAAAGGCTTAATTTTGGGGGTACTAATGCAAACATTTAATAAGCAAACTGAACGTAAAATGAATTATAGAATAGGAACATCATTTTTAATGGATAGCTTTTATTGTTTCATTATTAATGACCTCCATATTTATCACTAGAAGACTTATTTTGGGGGTACCAATGCAAATATTTAATAAGCAAACTGAATGTAAAATGAATTATACAATAGGAACATCATTTTTGTGGTTTTGCTTAAGTGCATGATTCAGTTTGTTTGTCTTTACTGAGTCTTTTTCCACATTATCTACCTAGTTCTGAGTAGTTTGGTTAAGTAGTATGCTATTGCTTATGATGGGATTTTGGCAAAACGTAACAGGTAGTGTATTTGCGACAAGCCAAAGGAAAGTCAAAGAGAAACCCTCTATCTCTATCTGCTAAAGGCCCATCCAAACCTGAGGTGGATAATGTATCTTCATCAGTTGAGGTGCAGGAAGATGAAGAGAAGGTTGAAAGAAATGATGAGAAAAACAATAACATCGAGGCAGTAACTGAAGAGGGAATTAAAAGTGTGATAAATTTTCTTAAAGAAAAAATTCCAGGACTAAAAGTCAAAGTTATGAATGTTAATGTTGAAGAGGAAGCAGCAGAGAACAATGATTCTATTCAGCAATTGATGGAGGATGATAGTAATAAAACTGGCACTGGTGAGAATCATGAAGATGAAGTGGATAATCTCGATGAACCTGATGGGGTCACTCTAGACAGAGATGGAGATGCCATAGAAGAAGAAAAGGATTTGGAAATGAAGCTTTTTATTGGTGGGGTTGTACACAACAATGAGGATACTCCTCTCAAGGATGATTTTGTACGTCTTCCAGCAGTAATAAAAAATATGGAAAAAGATTCTTTTGTCTTCAATTTTGCTGGCAAAAATATAGACTATGGTATCAAAGAAGATAAAGCTCCCAATATCAAAGTGGCCGCTTTGGCAGCTCAAGGAGTCTCGGAGCTTATGCCTCCTGATGTTGCTAATGCATTTTGGAGTTCCGACAAAGTGTCTTCCAAGGTGAGACTGGGATATTTAAGCATTTTAAACAAAAATCATGCATTTCTTTGGAGTTCTGTTAACTCATTCAGTAGGAATTAAGGAACACCTGTTATGATTATCACTGTAATGCTAAGGTTTTCATTGGTGATAAAATCAGGACAATTTCTATATGGAAAATGGGAGACTGTATGATATTGATGAAATGACACAGAACTACAAAATAAGAAATAGCCTATACTCCTACCAATGGAGGAAGCTCCAATCCCCAAGCCTAAGCTTGAAGATGGAAAACTTATACATAATTTCCCCTCTGACATAACCCAATCCTTTACATTGGATCTGTCATCCTTCTTCTCCTGTTTTTAACTTGTCACACTTCTTACCAAACTAATTCACCCTTTCCAGCCTTTTTGTCTATTATAATACTGTTAGAAATACAAGAAATATATAAAGATTCGTGGTTATTGTTCACCATCACCTATTCTTTTGTTGTGTAGTCCATATACAACTTTCAACATCTTTTCCACTTTTCTTTCTTTCAACGTGGTATTGAGTGATACCATTTCTGTCCATTTTCTTTCTTTCAACATGGCATCGGAGCAATACCATTTTCATCACCTATTTTGTTAATATTCTGCTGCTAAGTTCCTTTAAAAGGAAGTGAAACTTCAACTAGTCACCTCTTCCGTTTTGTCTCTTATTTCCAGCATGACTGTTAATATTTCATAATGTCCTAATTTGTTTGCTATTCTAAATTGTGGTTGTTCACCATCACCAACCCTTTGGTTTAGTAGTTTGTACATAGCTTTCAGCATCTTCATCTATTTTTCTTTTCTTTCTTTTAACATGGGATCAAAGCGATGCTATCTTCCATGACTCATTTTGTGACTATTTCGCTTCCAAGTTCCTTTAAACAAAATAAGTGCAACTCCAATCAGTCACGTCACCTCTTTTGCTTCGTCTCATATTTCCAGCATGATAGCCAATCTTCAATTGGGTCCACATTTGGCTTGCTACTCTGATATGTGGTGGACATTCACCGTTACTGACTTTTCTGTTGCACTTCTTCTAGCTTTGACAAACTTTCTGACAAAATTTCTACTCACTTAATAACAGTAATTGATTTCTGTTATTTACAATTGCATCAAATATATTAATTGGATAAGCACATGGTCACAATCTACATTAATATCACTGTTGATTATTGATCTAGCCAACCTTAGTATAAGTGAGAATGATAACGGTATAACAGTGAGATAATGGTGATGTCAGTTCCCATGAAAATGGATCTTAAACTAGTGTGACCCATTGAAAGTTTTTTAACTATCACTTGATATACCATGGTTTACTTGTCAAAGAACTGACTGATGCTTTATCTAGATCTCCAAAAGCATGCGTGATATTGTCAGAGTTGCTATGAGTCAAGCTCATAAAAGAACTAGATTATCTGGGGATACATATTTTAACCGGATTACCTGTTCAAGAGGGGATTCTGATCCTTTTGATGGTGAGGTTACTTATCCTTTTGTGCGAATGATATTTTTTTGTATGGAATTTAGGTAAAGCAGAAGTAAGAACTGTTTGTGCTTGTCAAAATGCAGGACTCTATGTTGGCGCATTTGGCCCTTATGGCATGGAAGTGGTTCATTTGAGGCGAAAATTTGGACATTGGAATGAAGGGGACAGTGAAAATAATACTTCAGATGTCGGATTCTTTGAGTATGTAGAGGCTGTGAAGTTAACTGGGGATCTTAATGTTCCTGCTGGCCAGGTTTATACATTTTTAATTCTTGATCATATTGTGAACTTCTATCAACTTTATGTGAGCATGACAAGGAAGGACTTCTTTTTTTTGGTGTAGGTGACATTCCGTGCAAAAATTGGCAGAGGCAATCGCAACACCAATCGTGGGATGTATCCTGATGATTTAGGAGTGGTAATGCACTATTTTAATGGATGTCTTGGGTGACGGGTGCTCATCCATGTTGGATGATACTTAATTTCGAAATTAACTTTAGCCCATCATGCAGACCTTTTCCCCAACAATCTTTTACATTGTAACCTCAAACCATCTGTGACAGAAACCTGGAATCTTATTATAAAGATTATGGATATCTCCCCTCAATCCAGTGTTTAATTCCTAGAACTTCGAGGGTGTACACCTCCCAATATGAAAAGTCTTAAATTCTATCACAATTAGCAAGATGGCATCCCTCTCAATCCTTCTTCATATTATATACAGCTACTGGTGTACTAACTTAAACTTGCCTTCAATGGAACTAATCAGTTGCAGAACCTCAACATACCCCTTTGTATTTCTCAGACTAACATTAGTTACTAATGGGGAATATGTAGCAATTCTCCCTTTAAGCATTATTCACCTTGTCCTCAATAGCAATGGGTTGCTGCAAACAAGGTTCCATTTTGTTCTAACTAGTTGAAGCATGATTATCAAGCCAACTCCATCGTGCTGCTGAAAATATCCTTCACTCCAACTAGGACAAACAAACACGTCAATGCCCACCCACAATCTCCTATACTCTGTTTTCTGCAGTACTTTTATTGTATTGGATAGAAATAGATAGAGTACTCAAACAAATGCGACATTCACCTTCACTTTTTATTTTATTGAATGTCCTTGGAATCTTGTCTGTTTCCTTGACTTGCATTGTTATCTGGTAATATATTTTGTTGGATCTATGATTTTGTTTTGTTAATTATGAATATATCATGAATTTTGACTATTTCTTTTAAAATTTGAGCATTTATATGTATATTGTATAAATTAGTTAATCTATGTATAAAATTTCTGAATAATGGCCTTCGCTAGGAGAGGCAAAGGCCACTCATATCTATCTCTACACCATGAAAAGGTGACATCTAGTGTACTTCCAAAAGAATTAAAAAAATTGCTTCAATTTCCTTGAGTTTGCTTTCTAATGCTTTTTATATGTACTTATGGTTTTTGAGGTACTTATAGTTTTTATTCATCCTTTGCTTGGGTTTTCCTTTTTTTCTGTTTTGCTCATTTGATCAGTTTGTGATATGTTCTTGAAACATACAAATAATCTTAAATACTGCACTTATTTCCAAACAGGTTGCTAGTTATAAAGGCCAGGGGAGAATAGCTGACTATGGTTTTCGAAATCCAAAATGGGTCGAAGGGGAACTGCTCCAACTTAATGGCAAGGTAAGTTTAGTCAGAGGAGTTACATTTTTCTCATAATCAATAATATTAGTTAATAGAAAAATTTGGTAGAATTTCTGTTGACATTTTCTTGATCTGCTATTATCATATTTAGGGCATGGGACCTTACATGAAAGGTGCAGACCTCGGCTTCCTTTATGTAGTACCTGAACAAAGTTTTCTAGTGTTATTCCACCGGTTGAAACTACCCGAGTAAGCCATGGTTGATGCTATGCTACTCCTGTATAATATGTCATCTGATGCGGGGTGGAACATGAAAGATTCTGACACTTGCACGAGATTTTATGTTACACTTTTTTCCAGTGGTAGTTATACCCTACAGGCAGGCACTTGTTTTGTTTTTCCTAGCCCTTCTGAGTTCATTTTTTGTTAATCCTTTTACCAATCTCTTTACTATCTGTCATATTGTGTATATAAATTTTGCCGACTAATATAGTAGTATGCTAGGAACTCTGGAAGTACCGTAAGGGATCTTTTACGTGCATAATGTGGAATATGTCTGTGTGTGCCTCCTTTCTGGTTTGGATTTCTCGTTTGTGGAAGTCCGACATAGTCTGCTTGTATGAAAATGAGCAAATAATACTTGAATTTCTTCCCCGTGGCAATTTATCCACAGATATTGTTACACCATTTCCTCTAGAAAGAAAGGAAATAATAATAATTAATAAACTTTATGCCACCCTTATCAAGAAGAATTATGGTGAAGGTATTGGCAGCAAAACAGATGCCTCAAGCTAGATTCCTGAATAAACCTATAGTGCTTTTGGAGACGTGTGAAGAGATAAAAAGGTGTCTCGTGAGAAAGCAAGTGCTCCATTATGTAGCAGGTTGCTTTCAGTGATGTATTTTATAGTTATTTTTAGGACCTTAGATGTTTGCACAAGAATAAGTTGCATTAAAATGCGCAATGGGAACCTTTACAATGGAAGCTGAGTTAAAGTAAGAGATATTGTCTTCTTTTCTTCTTCTTATTACACGATAGTGAGTTCACTGGAACGAAATCAAGTTACTTTTCTCCATTTGAAAAGGTTTGTTTATATTTTAATCGGGCCCGCATCGATTTTCTTCGTCTTTTTCAGAATAACCACGACGACTTAAATATAGCACCAAGAAAAAGTTATCTATCTCCATTGCTACAGATAACTAACCCAATCTTTTCATCTGTCATATTGATACTTTTGTCTTTTCATCATTAATTAATCAGCGTATTTATGATAGTAAATGTTAAAAATCAAGATAATACCTTAATGAATGGAAATATTATTTGTTATTTTTAGTTGGTAACTTAAGACTTATAAAATTTAATTTAAAATAAAGATAAAGGCTGTTATAATATAATTAGAAATAGAAATTAAAAAGTGGTTGGTTTAAAAGGCAACAATTATAGCTTTTCCTTTTAGACTAACACAGTCAGTAGAGCACTAGAGAGAGTGAAGTAACCGAGGTGGCACGTCTTGTGCTAAGGAACAATGACGAAAAACTAAAACATCCTTCTTTTTCTTTTCCCACCACCCAAACCAACCTTTTTCCTTTTTCATTGCAATTCACTTTTGTTTTTTCTCACTCGTCGTCTTTCTTTTATAATCTTCGCTTCACCACACCAATGCAAACGGAAAAGGAAGAATCGCAACTCACAAGGATCACACCGTCGTCATGAAAAAATCGCTCTCCAAAGGCTCGGAGTCGCCCACTCAGTTGGACTCGCCGCTCCAATTCCACTCGCCGATGCGGTGGGACGGGACCGATCCGCCGGAGTCTCCGGAATACCGATCGCCGGGAAACTTGACGGAAAGGCATGCGGACCACTCTATGGCAATCGTCACCGTCGGCAACCTCAAGCAGCTCGTTCCGGACAAGCGCGCGGAGCACCGGAAGCCACCGGAAAATATGCCGCCTCCGTTGAGGGTGTTTAACGGCACGGTGACGGAGGAGACGCAGCGTCCGGCGGCGAAAGCGGCTCCTGCGATGGTTGGAGGCGAGAGGAGATCGAGGTCGTCGGGGTGGGCTACGGAGGAGACGGTGTGCAAGGCGGCCCTAGGGTTCCGGCTGAGCGAGATGGTGGTGTGTCTGATTTCGTTTTCTGTTATGGCGGCGGATAAGACGCAAGGATGGAGCGGTGACTCCTTTGATCGCTATAGAGAATATAGGTATTGAAATCATCATTACTATTTGTATGATTATCAATTTTAAGTATTATTATTTATTAATTAATTTTTAAAGTTTGTTTAGTCAAAAATAGGTTAAATTGATAAATGAATGTATGCATGGATGGTTGGTGATTGTAGAAATGTGGAAGTTATTGGTATGTGTTTATGATAATTCATTTCTGGCAGGTACTGTTTATCTGTGAATATAATTGGATTTGCATACTCAGCGTTGCAAGCATGTGATCTGTCATGTCAACTTGCCACGGGGAAACACTTTATCAGTCACCACCTTCGCAACCACTTTGATTTCTTCATGGATCAGGCATGTCCTACCACTCTGTTTCTGTTCCTATGTTTTACTTTACTTCTTTTCTGTCAGAGAAGTGAGCATGTTCAGTCTACCCAATATTAGTCAAATTAGTACACTACTGCTTGAATCAAGGAAGGTTATGTTGTGGTAGTATAACTAGTAATTTTGAGTTCATGTTGGAATATTCAGTGATCTGGAGTTTAAGTTTGAATATACTGTTGAATTAAATACTTAGAATTTTTTTTAACGTTAATAGAGATTCTTCTGATTCAAATATGATACTCTCTTGTAAAGATTACATATTGTCCTGAAAAGAAGATTGTTTCAACGTTCTGTTTGTTAATTTGGAGATTTTGCACTAGAGCAATATCGAAAACCATTTTTTGTGGCTGAAAGTCGTGACATTTTTGTGATGAATTGATGCGTAGGTTCTGGCTTATCTTCTGATATCAGCATCATCATCTGCAGCCACACGGGTTGATGATTGGATATCGAATTGGGGGAAAGATGAGTTCACAGAAATGGCCACTGCTTCAATTGCAATGTCCTTCCTCGCTTTTCTTGCCTTTGCTATGAGTTCACTCATCTCTGGTTACACCCTATGCAACCGCAGCTCCATGTGAACCTCACACCTACTTCTCCTCCCAACTTCTCTTCTACCGTGATGGAATATAGTAATACTTGTTTGAAACTGATTTGATACATGATTTATCATCACATCCAAGAACCCCAAAAACGTGGAAGCAAGAACGTGGAAAACAACATGAACTGTGCTTCCAAACATGTAAAGAAATTGTTGATGCTCGAGAGTTTGTACTGTACTGACGGATTTATGTATATACACAGTTTCAGTATATTGTTCGTGTTCCAAATGGGAGGCTGGACAACAGATTTTCTTTGTTTGATTTGATAACTTAACAGGAAAGTGATTGTGTGAAAGAAAGATATTTTGAAAGAAACTGTTCTATCATTTAATGGAGAGGATAGGAAAATCGAAAATACGATAAATAAGCAGTTAGTGCTGGACTTTTAACTTAAAAAAGAAAGAATCTCAACTAAACAGAAATTTTATCTGACTAATTTCTAACAAATCCTCTCTTTAACTAGAATCTTTTAATATAAAGAAATTAGTTTACATGGCTTTTTTTACAGATTCCAATGCACGCAGCTTCAGAAAAACATTCAATGAGAGATTTTATTATTACATCAACAATTTATTTCGAAGTATTACAATGAATCAATTTTATTACTCTTGTTTGTAAGAAAGTTAAAACGAACAGAACTATTGTCGAATTGAATACTTATGGACTCTTGCTTAGTTTGATTAAGTGTCATGAACAACCTCTTTAGCTAAATAGCTTGACAGGAACATGATGTTGTTGCAATGAATTTTGTCTATGTGATTGACAAACTGACAATTGGTTGTTTCTTTGAACACCGTGATACAACTCTAAATCCAAAAAGAAAGACATTTCTCATTGTACTTTTTCTGTCATCCACATCTCCAGTATAGTCACTATCAATACATGCTATGAGTTTACTCTTCCTCCCTTCTTGTAAAAAATTCCAAATTCAATAGTTCTTCATGTATACTTTAGTATCCTATTTGCAACGTTGTAAATGGAGCCAAGTGAGATTCTCCATATACCTACTTAAAAGACTTACAACAAACATTAAATCTATACAAGTCAAAGTAAGATGCATAAGACAACTCACCATTTGCATGAAGCAAGTTTTATCCACATGTTATTTTCCTTCATCTTTACAAATCTTAAAATTAGGAACTATAGGAGTTTGAATTGAGTTGCTTTGATTCATTATAAAATGTTACAAATCTTAAAATTAGGCACTTTCTTTTTAGATAGCATGTTGCGAACCAAATTCATGATTGTTCGATTCTTTTGTTCTGCAACACCATTTTTTGGCGGTGAATATACTACTATTAATTGTCTTTGCACTCCATGCGCATTGCAAAACTTATTTAATTCTTGAGATGTGAAATCCCCACCATGATATGTGCACAACCCTTTGAGTGAAATATTTGTTGCTTTCTCAACATATAATTTGAAGTTTTTGAAAAAAGTAAAGGTCTCTTATTTTTCTACCAAAAACTAAACCAAAGTTTTTCGACTGAAATCATAAATAAAAGTAAGCAAATACCTTTTCTTTCTATTTGAGGCTAGCTTAATGGGTCCACAAATGTCAGCATGAACAAGCTGAAGAATCTATGAAGCTCTCCAAGAACTTCTCATGGGAAATGAATCTCGATGTTGTTTCTCAATTAGACAATCTTTGCATAACTTAGAGGACGGGTTAAGCAGTGGTAAACCTTCCATCATTCCTTTTTGTTGCAAAGTATGTAAGCCTTTAAAGCTTAAATGGTCAAACCTGCAATGCCACAACTGTGTTACATCTTCTAAAATTGTGTTAAAATAAGTAGGTGCTACAGGCAAGGAGATGGCATGAAAGATAAAAATCTGATTCGATGACATTAGATTGCATAATCAAAAACTTTGTCTAGATGATATATTTTTCATTTTCCCTGTTGAAATAAAATGCTCAACCCCTTCTCTTGCAATTGTCCCAGACTTAGTATGTTTTTCCATGGCATGCAGAGGATATTTTCAACAACCCCACAACGGTCAAATTTTTCCAATGCTAGTGGATCCCAAGCTTTTCAAAGAGGGGAGTGAGTCTTGTGTTAGACATTAACAAGTATGTAAAATTTATATTTTGCAATATTGTTATAAGATATGTTTTCTTATTACAATCCCCTACATATTGCAAAAGATAAGATATAGAAAAGCTAAAAGAAGAAAATCCTAGGTTTTATATAAGATTTAATGCATTAGAACTGATATAGTAAGCTATATGAGCTAGTCCTAGGTTGATAAACTTACACACAATGTAGTTGATTTAAGTAGCTATATGAACCAAACAACTTAGTATATGTTAGCAGCTTATCAATCACAATACATTCACATAATCCTTGTTGTTATCAGTGTGTTGCATTTACTAGGCCATAAGCGTGTTCGGTATTCATGAGTCTCTAGAGATCATGCTAAGATCTCATACAAGCGACCTCCCTCAACTCTCATATAGGTGATTTCATAAAGTATATGTTGCACATCATACACCACTCATAAGGGATATGAAAATCATTAGAAA